TAACTGCTATTGCTATTGCTATATCTATGACCTTTGCAGTGATCCCATTTTGAGACCTCCTGAAAAACCAAGTCAATGGGGAAGCCAGATTCACTTAAGAGCTGTGCTACTAACTTAACAACGGCAAGGATTCACTCGGCCTTTCTGTGGCCAGAAAGGTCGTAAAATCGGGGCGAAACTTACTCAACCACTGTCTCGCTTAGCAACAGACATTTTGAGCTCCATTGTGGTTGTAAGTTGAGGGTTGCCTGGATGCCCCTCGCGGGATTTTACGCTAACCTACAGATGCAGTACGTTTCACGTTACCATGGAAAACATTTTGACTTCCTCCCGCAGATGTGATGACCATTTCTTCATCCTACCTTATCTTTAATGCCTTTCTTTTCTAGGTTTGTGCAGATGTTTTGTGATGCAGTTTGATCCCCTTGTTTCTTTCAACAGTTTCAACAGTTTCGTCCGCCGGCCAGGCCTGTCTGCTTTTCTCTCCGTTGTAGGAACTTGAGTTCCTTTAGTATGTATACAGATCTAATATTTTGCATGGTTTGCCTTTCCTCTAACCTTGCCGTTTTATCACAGCTTTGCGCAGAGCACCGCTTTGGAAACGGGAATGCCCTAGACGGCTGTGGGTCAGCAACCTGGGGTCTTCCAAATGTTTTAAGACCCAGCCGGAAAGACAATTTGAAAAAGGTGCCACGTTGCTACCTAAATCCTAACGGGATTTAGCTTGATCACTGCCACGCATTCGGATTACGCATTCTGAATATTGCTGTTAAGACTTGATTCGATTTTACGTTTTTGTTATCACTGAATTTGGCTGCAAAGCTAGCGTTTGGATGTTTTAACACAGGGGTGTCAAACTCAAGACCCTTGGACTGGATCCGGCCGACAGGCTGCTTAGATCTGGCTGTGGAAACAGCAGAGGACTGACCCGCGGTGCTCCTCCTGTGACAATGGAGCTTGGGAGGACCATGTGCGGCTCTCCCGGACTCCATTTTCGCTGGCAGAAGTTGCAGGAGGCCGTCGCAGCCGAAAACAGAGCACTCTTTCGGTGACAGAGCACTCAGACCACTTCTAGCACCAGGGGTGGGTTGCTGCCGGTATTACCGCCGGTTCAGCGCGCATGCGCATTTGCACCTAAAAAGGTCTGTGCACGCGCACAATGTTAGAAAAGGGGAAAAAATTAAATTTCTGCCATAAAGATTGTTCTGTGCATGCAAGATGGCAGTGCAGCCGATAGAACCGGTTCGGAGGTGTGGCAGGACAAGTTACTACCTACTTGGCCGAACCGGGCCGAACCGGTAGGAACCCACCTCTGACTGGCACTCTTGACACGAGTGACGTCAAGCTGGCCACACCCACCCCAGTCCAGCCCCCCTCCCCAAAGTCAAACACAATCCTGATGCAGTCCTCAATGAAATCGAGTTTGATGCCTCTGCTTTACCACAAAGCTTTTCAGTCTGGGGTTCCGTTGTGTGGGTCAGGAATTTTGGGAGACGAACCGAGAGCCTCAGATGGAGGCAAGATAGTTTAGATGATTGTGTTGAGTGTCTCCCTGGAAGACTGGTGGCCGTCCGCCAGAATCTGCACAATTTTATTTATTGAAACACAGCACTAGCAGCACTCCGTGTTTTCTTTGTCTTGCAACTCTTCATTCCCACTTAAGTTTGGCAGTTGTTAGCGGGGGCTCAGTGGCTAAGACGCTGACCTTGTCAATCAGAAGGTTGGCAGTTCAGCGGTTCGAATCCCTAGCGCTGCATAATGGAGTGAGNAGATTAGTTTCAGGAGTGTGAAGATCTGTCCGTGAATCTCAGAGACTCTGTGCCCAGTCTTTCCTTGCACAGCGCCTCATTTGGAAAATATTTACATGGCAGCTTTCCAAGATAGATAAGGTCTGTATTCATAAATATTCCTTTGGAAGACTGTTTGCCAGGCCTTGCTGAATGTGAATGAGAGGAATTCACATTCGTTTAATAAAAGGAGTGTTGTCAGGACCGGAAATCTGCCTTGTGCTTTTTGGGGAAGCCTAGGTCAGAACAATAGTTCCTTTTATAGTCCCCACCTTCAGGATCCCATAAAGCTTCATCACAACAGATGTTTGCTACAAGCCAAGCTCTATTCCGGTCCCCCAAAAATGGGACCAAGAAAGACAAAGAAATTTAAGCAATAGCTCATAGAATCTCTACAGGTAATCAATGGCGTACAACAATTCATTTGGTGGCTGTGCGAAGATACGACGGCATTGAAAAAAGGGACTTATGACCATTTTTCACACAACTGTTGCAGCATCCCCATAGTCACATGAGCAAAATTCAGCTGCTGGGCATCTGACTCATATTTATGACAGTTGCAGATTCCTCTGTGTGTGTGTGTGTGTGTGTGTGTGTGTGTGTGTGTGTGTGTGATGTGATCCCCTTTTGCGAGTTTCTGATATGCAAAGCCAACAGGGAAGCTAGATTTATTTAACAACCTAACAACTGCAGTGATTCACTTAACAACTGGGGCAAGAAAGATCATAAAATGGGGCAAAATGCACTTAATGAGTGTCTCACTTAACAACAGAAATTCTGGACTCCTTTGCGGTTGTACATTGAGGACTGCTTGTAGGGAGTTGAAACCCAATTAGTTGCCAGGCTAAACGAAACTGATTGGTTTGGGGATGCTCTTTGTTTCAGTTAAAATCTGCACAGGTCCCCCAGCCTTGGCACCACAAAATCCTCTAAAACCCAACAATATTTTAGAGCTTGGCCAAATGATCAGGAAAATTTGGAGTTTGGGACCACAGCTGATTGCGTCTTCCCAAAATAAAAAGAATCAACAGCCTTTTAAAGGGTTTATTAAAATGTTTACCAGATGAAATTGAACAAAATTCGTGTTTCCTATTTTTACATCCGAAGGATCCTTCAGCGATGACGTCTCAGCTCTCCGAGACGTCAGTTTTATCACTGTTACCTTTTTTGCCCCGGTCTTCATTGGCCAGTGATGTCAACAAGCCTTGATCTCATTCACACATCTGCTTGGTATTGATTGCCCATGCTTGTTTGTTTTTTCATTCTCTTGATGTTTCATAGAGCCTCCCCTCCCCTCCTTTTGTTACTGCTGTGTCTGCTTTGAACGTCAACTGAAATTGATCTATTCTGTAAAAAGCAATTTCAGATGAAGGAGAAGGAGAAGAAGCAAATTGATGGGGAGGAAAAAGGTACATGCAAATATCAATTACGCATGTGCCATTTTTATGCCATAGAAAATAGGGTGGGTTGTTTTTTCCTCATCCAATTTTTCCCCCCTCATCTTGTATCCTGTTTCCTAGGGGTGGGTTCCGTCAGAGACTATCACGGTTCACTCAGGGACACGGTGCATACACAGCATGTGCGAATGCGCAGTAAAACTAAAATTGCTCCGTGCATGCAGCGAAGCAAAAAACCAGATGGCGGCACCAGAGGTTCAAGGGCATGGCAGGCCGCCAAACCATTACCGGTTTGGTCAAACCAGTCCGAATCGGTAGGAACCCGCCACTGCTGTTTCCCCAAAAATAAGACCTCCCTGAAAATAAATCCTCCTCTAAAATATTTAAATGCATGCACAGCCAGTCCCCGGCATTTCCTGGGAAGAATGGGGGAGATTGCCCCATGTGCCCCACATTCACCTGCTATCCATGCGGAACGGCCTCACGGAGGCCACTCCCACAAATCCTAACTACTGCGCCCCTTCTCTTAGTGGCGGCTGCAAAAAGAGAGGCAGGCTGAGGAATGTTAGGGCTGGCAAGAGTGTGCCAGAAACAGAGACAGAACTTTTGGCCCTCTCTGGATCAGCTGATCTATGGGCCATGGGCCAAGGTTAAGGGGCTTCCTGCACCTCAGAAATAATAAGACCTCCCCGAAAATAAGGCCAAGCGCTTATTTTGGGAGTCAAAAGAAAAGAAGACCCTGTCTTATTTTTAGATTCTTTTGATCATAATTTTTAGGTTCTTTTGGTCATAAAAGGGAGGGTTTTCTCTGAGGGAAAAATATACCATGTTTCCCTGAAAATAAGACAGGGTCTTATTTTCAGGGAAACATGATATATTTTTCCCTCAGAAAAAAACCCCTCCCTTTTATGACCAAAAGAACCTAGGAATTCCAGTTCAATAGACAGAAAATGCACCATCATACTGAATAAGTTGCATTAACTTAATAGACCGGAAATCTTATTATGAGTAGAATCTGAAGAATTCCTCTTAAAGATCATTTATTGTGATTAAAACAGGTGATTCTTTCTTCCAAAGAATGTTGGTGTAAGAATAAAAGGAGAACTAATTGCAAAGTTTACCAGCTCAGAACACTGAGTATATAATCCTGCCAGGAAAATTGCACCTTAGAAGTGTAGAAAGTCAGCACCCTACCCCCTGAAAAGAATGAAATATTTGGGGAAATATTAAAAAGGCAGAATATTATATTTCCCTAAAGGAGAAATGGAGAAACATGTTTTAGAGGCAGGAAGCAGCCCCCACTTTCTCTCAATAGCCCACAGCAGATTCCAGCACTTAAGGAGATAAAGAGCTTATTGAATGAAGAAGCCAACTATCTAGATGGCTCTATTCATAAGCAAAGCAAACACTGCAGGCAGAAATCCATTCAAGGCAGGATATTTCAAAACTGCTTGCAGCAAAGTTTGTTAGTTAACAACCGCAGAGTGATAGGATTAGAAGCAGCCCGTTGTCCAAGATCCAACACAGGATGAAAACCATTAGATTTAGATTTAGATTTTCCTTTATTTGTATGCCGCCCTTTTCCCTGGGGGGACTCAGGGCGGCTCACAGTTCAAAAAAGGGGNAAGGGTTAACCAGAGAGGCGGTTTCTGTAAGCAGGCCAATAAAGATTAGGCTAGAAACACTACAATGTTTCCTTCCTACCTTCCTTACAGGATTAGCCCTGTAGAGTGGGGAAAAACAAAATATTTCTTCCAACAACCGGTTCTCCGAACTGCTTAGAAAGTTACCAACCGGTTCTCCCGAATAGGTGAGAACTGGCTGAATCCCACCACTGACGCAACTGCTCACCCGTTTCAAAAAAACGTAATTATGAAGAATACATTTTGGAAATCTACTAATGCCAGGAACCATTGCTAGCCACCATGGTTTGCATTTTTCCTTTAAATCTTAGACGGCAAGGTCTGTGCATTTCCAAGCCCCTGTCCTCAATGATCTTATTGTAGGGTTGAAAGTTCCAGCTGCATGCCAAGGTGTGCCAGCAAATGTACTCTTAGTAGAAAAACGCCCTTATTCAAGGGCCCGGAGGTGCTGTGCCCTTTTCAGCCCAATGGTTATTTTTTCTCCTTGGACTTTTCTTCCAGTTCCCTTTACCCACCTTCATGTGGTTCCCACCCCTAGAAGACTGGAGACTAAAGGGTCCTTGGTGCTCCCTGTGCTTGGTAGTTTTCTTGCAGACGTTTCATTAGCCATACTAGGTAACATTGAGATAGCAGGCTGAACCAGAGTAGGCCTCAAGCCTGAACCAAACTAGGGTTTCATGATATTAAGCTTCAACTGTTCATATATAGAAATTGCAAACGTTCGCTTTTAGGAAGTCTGCACATAAAAACTGCTGAAGCAAAGGTCTCTATTTTAATGTATTTGCTGGCTTGACTGTAAAATCTGTCTGGAAGGACACAATTTACTTCTCCAAATGTATGCTACAGATGACTCTTGGCTGGCCATGTAGTATTACTTCCTGTAGACATAATATTGCTGTAACTCAAGGGCAAATCTTGAGCGGTGTATCCAAGAAACTAACAGATGGCTTAGCTAAAAGCTAAAAACTATAAAAGTAATTTCCTGATGTCATTCGGAGTTCAGTCCTTTGTCTCCGAACTTGCGCAATAAACTATTCCTTCCCTGAAGAGCTGGCTTGCGTGTCCTGTTTTTTCTACAACAACATCATCAGTGCTAGAAGGAAGCGTAACAACAGCCTAATCAAGGAACCTCTAAGAAAATCCTCACTAACACTGACAGGCAAGCCAGCTTCTATAGAAACAGAGAGAAAACCCAACTGCTTTCTACGTCACACTGATGATGTTACCTAGTTGGGCAATGAAAGGTCCACAAGAAAACTACCAGCCTCAAGAACCCAAGGGCCCCGAGCTACAAATATTCTCCTTTACTGAGGTTGGAGACTGTGCCCCATTGCCCAATATGGTCCTTGGAAGTGTGCCATGTTTTGCACATGCGCCTCTCTCTCTCCCTCTCTCTTGCACCCCTGCTACATGACAGGAGAACGCCCACAATCATTTCTTTCTGTTTTTGTTGCTCCTGTCATTGTCATGCTTTGTTAGGTACAAAGACAGGAGGCTGGCCCAGCACAAGTCGGAAATAGAGTGTTTCACTCCAAAAGGGAGTATGGGAAATGGTGGGCGAGCGACCATGAGCAGGTAAGTAAAAGCATGAATGCCACCTTACCCCTTCCGAGGGTCAAGGGGCTTTGTCTGTCAGAGGAGGATTGTCCGGGGGGAAACATTGCAGCCCACCTCCTCAATGTCTGATCGTCGTCGTCCAACCTGTACGATGTATCTCTAGATGATTTGTGTTGTTGGTTTAGGGTTGCAAAATAAGTTCGGCTTCTTGTTTGGTCTGTAACAGCAGCTCCATTTGCAGGAGAAGGTTCTAAGTGCCAAGAGCAGGAGTGTCAAACTAGCGGCCCCTGGGCCAGATGCATCATGTACAGGACATGCCCACCCTGGCTCCACAAAGGCAGAAAAAGTCATGATGCGTCACATGACGTGGTCGAGTTTGACACCCATGGCCTAGAGCAGTGGTCGTCAACCTGGTCCCTACCGCCCACTAGCAATAGCAATAGCAATAGCAGTTAGACTTATATAC